ACCAAAACGCAACGCAAATCGACGAGGGGGCCAATCTAAACGGGGTAGGGAACTACTAAAAATAGAAGGTAACGGGATGATCAGTAGACACGAAGGAACTCAAAGATCACGAACGGACCGATAAATTCACGAAAAACCGCCATCATCCAAACAGCCAATCACAGATAGCCTCCAAATGGTATATAAACGCACGCAGGCAAAATTAGGTACCCACCTAACTGCGCACTGATGATCTCTCCTCGTATGTTGACGAAACGTTTGCGAGTCAATGGCCAAGTATGACGAACAGATCAACAGCTAACTAATCAAAGGCAAAAAAAGTTTCTTTTGAGAAGGCTGGACAATAGGCCAATCTGGTACACGTTTAGATGGATGTTCTTGTCCCTAAGTTACCGTGAAATGAAACGTGCCCGGTGATAAAAATGCCGGGAATAACATAAAATTACGACGGTTCTTTTTGCTTGAACATCATCCAAATGGTCCAATACAGTCAGTTGATTGGCTTAGACAGGTGGATATTCGCCTTTACGATGTTCACTGGCAATGCTTATGAGGGTAGTTGTTCGAAGGTGGGTGAGAGAGTACTTACAAAACTAGATTCAGCGTCCTTCGGAAAAATTCTGCTTTGTGGTTTAAGTTGTGCAGGAACGTCCAAATTACCCACGACAACAATCAGTGCTGCGATCAATTCTGGAAAATCCGCTCGAGAGCTCGGTTGCTTTCAATCCGTTTGTCGATCCTGGAAGTTGGCCTGCGAGTGCGGTTGACCTAGTGTGACTGCGGAGTCGAACAAAAGTTCGGCGAGGTGAAAGAGGCCAGCGTACACGACAGGAAGGAGTATACAAATGGATAGTTACTTTGTTTTGGCGCAGCTGATCTCACTTCCTATCTATTCGGCTGTCAACCCCTGTAAATCCTCCACCCAAACCATGCAGAGCTGCTTACGTGTGGAACGAAAAAAAGTTTTACGATCAAAAAAGAGCACGTAAACAGGATTTCTCAGCCGACATTATCCAATGCATATCTAACCATTCCCATGTTCTGTTCAAATCTCCCCTTGGTGTTTATTTACCATGTGAATGGATAAAACGTTGTTTGTTTCACGGTGTCTATTTTATTGATTCAGAGCGTAATGATAGAAAACCTGGTCTTGTGACAGAAAGGTGGCGTAAGGTGCAACCTGATAAATTGTGTCTGAGAGGTGCTTAGAAGGTGGCCACCAACGTAATGGGCAAGCAAGGGAGATCTTTCTGACAAAACTGAACCAACCCCTGATTAGGGACACCCTTTACTCGTTCCATTTCTTTTATGAGTAATCCCTTAATATTTTTGAAAAGAGAACTGCCTGACGATTACAGAGTGCAAAACGGACAATGGACACAAGTGTTGTATTTCACTAGAAACTCTCCTGAGTTGGGATGGAAACACAAGTGTGAATGAAAACGAAAGTTCGATAATAAAAGAAACCTTGGGAGAAGAGCTCAGGATAATGGCCGCCCCATCTTATTACGTTCTTTTAATTCTAGAGACGAAAGAACATCAGAAAGAGAAATTTCAGTGATGGAGTAAATATGTAGACGGCATGAAATTTCAACAAGTTTTTTCGAACGATTTTCCACGCATCTGTGGCCTCGAAAGTGCATGAATACCACTCATGAAGAGCGACAGTGCAGCAAAATCGTATTTATGAGACTCTTTTGAAACGCTCCTGTCATATTTTTCCTAGAAATGGTTCAGGTCGACCTGTTTATCAAACAGAAAATCTTTCTAATCGTGTTGTTTTATATTAGTAAAGACGAATACCTATAGGGGAATAACTTTGCCACGTAACTGGAGAATACTCGACTGTTATCACGCGTGTGTACCTATGATCCTGAGGGGATCGCCTGGAACTGTTCGGAATGGTCACACAGCACGTTCTTTCAAACCCGGTCGATGACTTCCACGGAGGATTTATGACCTTATCAGGATCATATCTGTACAATACGACCGCGGGTCTCCTACATCGTCGAAAAGATACTGAGGGAAGTATGCTGTCCAAAGTTTGAATTTAACTATGCCCTACTGCTACTTTCAGCTTCCAGTTAAAAATCACATATAACTACCCTGTCTAAGATGTGGCCCAGAATCATGCCACAGTTAACATGTATTATGCAGAGTGTCATGACCCATTGTACTAGCAATTCAACAGTTTGTTGTTCTGCGCACCCGGGTGGGCCATGATGTACTCGTTCGGGAGATTGAATAAAATTCCACTGGAGTCATATTGCATGTAGCCACACGAAGTTTGTAAACTTTCTAGAAGTAAAGAAACTGTGAAAAATATTCACACATTTTTGTTTGATCAGTCGTCCAGAGAACGTTCCCATTTGGTACAAGTTAGCGATATCTACCCCTTGTTTCCAACAGGTTCTGTCAAGAAGAGGGCGATATGAATTAGCATGTGAAATTCTGCAGAGGCAGTGCAAACGTCGGATGCATTCAATCCCATGAGCATTCAATGGAGCGTCCGGCTCCCAGTATTCGGAGTCAGATTTCATGGTTGAAAGTAAAGTACACACTTTCAATCTATCGTCATGGTGACTGCCCGTTTGGCGGACTGACGATGAGAGAAGAAACAGATTCCACCTTACCTGACCATCGATGTCTTCGGAGCATTGCCCGAATTTGGTAGGAACACCGGATAAGCAATGCTGAAGTACGTTGAATGGTATTCAGGAGAAATAACTCACTCTTGACAGATGAACTGATCACACTGCATAGGCTGCGCTGGTTTGGCGACGTGTTGAGTAGACCAGTCGACCGACTTTCTCCAAGGGCCCTTTTCGCACAGTCACGTGAAGGGTGGAAGAGAGCCAGAGGCGGTCAAACAACGACTTGATAGCGGAGTATGGAAGCCATCACCAGCAAACTCAGCTGCGCTGGTCGCTGCCGTCTTCCTGGATGGGACCCCGAGACGGGCCACATTAATGGCAAGAGACACTGTCAGATATGGCTCAGTCGCGCTCTCAACGGCGCAAGACCGGACGTTATTTATTTATTATTTATTACACTGATATAGACGGAAATTGAGTGATTTCAGGAATTTCTCTTTTTAAAAGTATTAGTTCTCGAAGTCCTTCAAATGGAACATTAGAGTACTCGATTCAAGCGATTCAAAGAGCAGGTATCACGTGAATCTTAGACTAACAGTGGCCACAATCTCTAAACATCCGGATGGTTGGATACGGGAGAGTTTGCACTCACTTTACCCTGTAGTTTGTGCGTCCCACAAGGTCGCTGTTACTTCCTTATTGCAAGTGCAGTAATCAAAGAATAGGGTGAGCAACACAGTGCCAGAAGTGTTGGCAGTGGCCCTCAGATGATTGGATTTTTCTGCTTTCTGGAACGCACCTGTATCTTGATTGTTTTTTTTCTGAGAAACCATTTGTTGTTGCTTTCAGTGATCCAGAATGATTAGATGGGATGCATGACACTACAAGTCGCTTCGAACGAGTCTACTCACACACGTGCACTTTGATATCTTCCACATCAATGTAATGTGAAGTTGAAACAGGAGTGGCGTTCAACCAAGCGGCAGATCGAGAGAGTCAGCTGGAGGATGTCGTGAACAGAAATATTCTGCATGCTACCACGAAACCGTCGGACGTACATATTCCGCACGCAATTAGCCAGGTTAGACGGGTTTTAAGGTGATAACAACCAAACTAAAATACTAAAGCACCAAGAATCATTTAGAAACCGAAGAGCAAATAAAACTCTAAGCTGTAGACGGTCATCATAAACACAAACAGATCCTTTGAGATTGTGCTTAAAAGTGCACTAATTTTCTCGCAATAAGCGAACCGGTGGTAATCCGACCACCAAGATCATTTGCTTACCCCAAAGGTGAAAAACTCTGCCAGAAATAGAGCACTCAGCGTGCCAGTATTTGACATGTACATCCTGGACTTTGAAGTCGCCTCCCTCGGTGCACAAACCGCAGTAGACCGGGTTTCACTCTTGCGCAGTATGTCAAAGGGACGATAAGTGATGTATGAAACGGGGCATTCCTAGCTTGTGTTGCTAGCTATTACCGGCCAGAATGCGTAAAAATTGTTAAAACTTGTTGCTTTTGCAGTTTCGCTTGAATTTCACCTTGCCAAATTTGATAAACTGGATCCGAATGCAAGTAGAAAAAATGATTGCTATGGGTGTTTCTCATATAAATAGGAAATGATATATAATGATAATAAAGTATTATAATATAAATCTAATATAAACAGGAAATATTGTTGGGAGTATGAGCGGCTTGAAAGTCAAATCAAAACACTGTAGAGCTGTCCCATCCCTACTGGGAATATCATCCCCAGTACGCATCTAACGAAACTCCAGAGAGTTTCGAGCCAGTTACTATTTTGAACACTAAACCTTTCGAGCAGGGGCGGCTGATCAGTACTGTGGTTAACTCACACCTACACACGATATAATCATCATTCATTTATCAGTAGCGGAATGCATGTCAATCAGACGCAACTCGTGAATTTCCCCTTCCTTCGGAGCTACTTATAATTTTGTCAGTAATACAAAGAGATTTAGAAATCCCATCTCGGATTTCCACCCACCCTGATACCTTCATTCGTTAGCATCACTATCCCTTTAATTCCCTTGAGCTCCGGTTGGCCGATAGCTTTGCTTCGTATGCGATTAGGCTTCATGAACCCCTCTGAAAATGGCTTCCTGTATACGATAACTCGGTTGAATAGCGGCTGGGTGACATTTTTGAGCAGAGATACTTCTATATGCACTCTCAACATAGGACTCTGGATCCAAGACTCCATTGTTATACGTTCAGGACACGTAAGACTGCATCGAACGAGTAAGTTGACTTATACACCTGAGTGTGTAAACTTGCCCGGGAAATTATCGTCTCGATGAGTGGTCGTAGACCGACCATTATATTTAAAAATAGGCCAAGTCCGATGTAGGGCTTACTTCATGTTAGTGAATTCAATTCCTTCTCAGCCTTTAAAGGTTGTCGGGCTGCGAATTCCAACCGACTTTTGAGTAGGCAACATATTTTGGAATCCCACAGTCCCCTGTACGCCTGGATGTACTTCAACGGTGCTGACTGATGCACGTCTTGGCGGAGGCGACAAAAGTTTGATATCGTCAATCGGCTCGATCATGTGAGCCACCCGAGGCTTTTGTAACATTTGTTGCTTAGAATAGGTCGGAGGGAGAGGTAAATCCTGGAAATTGAAAGGAGAATTTGGAAGGAAACGTTTGGAATTTCTCCGCTGGACAAACATACACCCTGAAACATGTCAGACAGTTCGTGTGTCAGTTTACTACAGCATGTCAGTCTCAGATCGGTGGTAGAGGCTCCAGTGGCCGAAACTAGTTCCGGGTGACCGCTGAGCATAACGAACCCTCTCAACATAGGACTATGGATCCAAGACTCCATTGTTATACGTTCAGTATCGAACGAGTCAGTTGACTTATACACCTGAGTGTGTAAACTTGCCCGGGAAATTATCGTCTCGATGAGTGGTCGTAGACCGACCATTATATTTAAAAATAGGCCAAGTCCGATGTAGGGCTTACTTCATGTTAGTGAATTCAATTCCTTCTCAGCCTTTAAAGGTTCTCGGTCTGCGAATTCCAATCGACTTTTGAGTAGGCAACATATTTTGGAATCCAACAGTCCCCTGAACGCCTGGATGTACTTCAACGGTGCTGACTGATGCACGTCTTGGCGGAGGCGACAAAAGTTTGACATCGTCAATCGGCTCGATCATGTGAGTCACCCGAGGCTTTTGTAACATTTGTTGCTTAGAATAGGTTGGAGGTAGAGGTAAGTCCTGGAAATTGAAAGGAGAATTTGGAAGGAAAGGCTTGGAATTTCTCCGCTGGACAAACATACACCCTGAAACATGTCAGACAGTTCGTGTGTCAGTTTACTACAGCATGTCAGTCTCAGATCGGTGGTAGAGGCTCCAGTGGCCGAAACTAGTTCCGGGTGACCGCTGAGCATAACGAACTAAAATAAGCCAGAAAGAGTTGAATCTGAATGACGAGTCACCAAAAATAAACCTATCATAAATTGAAACCTAGGACAAAACTGGTGCAGAAGCAAATATAAGCATCGTTCACACATGGCAACACAGCCACCAAGAAGGCCACACGTGACAATAATAAGTCTATTGAGCAGACCTGAGACGGGCACGGAAACGTTTCCGCTTATACTGATTGATCAGTTGGGTGTAGATGACTGACGCAAAGCCAATCCACTATCAACTGATAATGTCAACGAAACCATATTGCCAGACTCAGCTATCATATTACCGTGCTGCGCGTGACGCGACTTCCTGAATTTAGTAGCGGGAGGCGGACTGAGAAATTGACGTCGACCATGAGCCTTTTTCTCTATTCATGTATTGCGCCCTTGTACTTGTGCCCGGATAAGTTTCGAACTCGAGAGAAAAACAAGAAGGATGGGATACCCTTAAAAGTTCGACTGAAATGCAATTAACGTTCAGAAACTCGCTTCAGGGATATTGCTTATGGAATATTGAATTGAATATTGCCAAAGGCCCTCACATTAGCATGAATCAATGAATAGCTCATAGGATGAGTGAAAGTTCCACCTGAGAAGTAGTCACCACAGAAGTCACTCAATACCACACCACGTGATTTCGCTTCTGAGATCGAAGAATGAGCGATGCTCCGCCTTGTCTTGGTGAAAGCTAATCACACTGCTGTTCAACCGATCCAAGACAAAACGTCCTGTGTTCAGTTACTGTCCGGAAGGTCGCGGGTTCGAAACTCTCCGTTATGACACATGCGGACTGCGGATGATTTCCAACAAGGAGAAAACTGCTTTGCAAGGTTTCTCTACTTTTCCGCACACATTGGCTTCACTCAAAGGATGAAATCTCCACTGAATATTAGGAAATCTCCTAACGAAATCGTGAATACTGCAAAAGCGGCATCTCGGAAAGTGTTTATTGCGTCCCCAAAACCGTGATAACACATTTAACTTAATTTTTTTCAAACTTCTGACCCAAAATGCATATAACAGAAGTTGGAAGTCTCTAAACACTCTGAGTGAGTGTCAGTGTGAAATTCGTAGATCAGTATCCGAGATAAAACGAAGCAATGCATTCACGAATATGTTTTGCGTAGCGTCATACCGGACAATTCCAAATAGAAGATGTAAAAAATCTAATGTAAACCAATTCCTGTTTGAGAATTGCGCGTGGAGTACGAAGTGTTAAAGTGACTTGATTAGAATAGTGATGTGGAAATGAACTTGAGAAGTGTAGGAATCACCAGGCTTACATTCAAACGGTAGAATAAACTAGCAAAGTTCTTGGCTCATCATGTGATGCATCGAAAAAATCACGAAGCCGCTCATTTCCGAGTTTCTCTGTCTATTCACAGGTGCTAACGCAGGTGGTCAATTAGCTGTATCGCTGTTAGTTTTCAGATGAAAGCTAAACACGACCTCATAGTCTCTCCTTTGTTGAGAACCAATCAGTACTATCAAAATAGGATAGGACAGGAGAGGGATTCAACAATGCACGTGTTTAACAGTCAAAATAAGGGACATCGAGGTAACCCGGTAACCCGTTTGATGACTGAAATGTTGATATGCTGATATGATAATGTAGGCCAATATACCAGAGTAACGGTGATACTACTGATGGGGGCTGGCGAGTAGTAGGTTTCCTCGTAAATCCGCTCTGCGTCTCTTGAAAAGTGAGATCTATTACAGAACTTGTGGAGTCGCATTTGCTTGCATTTGAGTAACAGTCAATGAATATCCAGGAAAGTTCAGGAAGACGCGTTCAAGGAGAAGATGGAGATTCAGTTTTTGTGAACAAGATGCATATGAGAGCCTCGCTCCCCTGTCCAATAGTCTGTAACTGTTGGTAATTTGTTGAAATATTGGTACCCCGGGTGAGTTTACAGATTGTTGATCAGGTGACTGTTGATCTGTTTGCCGAGCTTGGCAATTGGTCTGTAACTGTTCATTTGGAATTTTCTAGTAAATAACTCGGCGGCGAAGGCCTTATTCCTTTCACCAGTATAGGGAGGAAAGTCCTTCGCTGCGAATTAGTTATTGACAAATACCAAATAGACAGATACAAACTGCTGGACGGGAAAGTAAACGTCTCATATTCACACAATGTTTTTAAAGAAAAATGAACTTTCTTATGCGTCTTCTTGAGCTTTCATCGATACACATTGACTGTCATAAAATTTTAAACAAACATTATAAGGCAGTTTCACAAGTTCCATAACAAACTTCACCTTCCACTAGATGCGGAGCAGAGCTTCGAGAAAACCACAGACTACTCGCATGCCTCATCAGTAGTATCCACCGTTGCATCAGTATACTGCCACTTTGATGTAATACTATACTGCCGAGAAAAAAGCTGCACCGTATGACGCCGTTATCATTTTCAGAAATTTTCTGTGATGTATCACAAGAATTGTACACGTTAGTGGTTTTTAGCTAGTTAGGGCAGTACATCAAGTTCCAAATTCATTTGCCAGCATAGTTGACGTTAGCCGACGTATGCGCAAAATTCAAGTACTATTCACAGCTTGCTATTGCGGCGATCCGACTATGGTTCTTGGATAGATATTTCACCTGATACTTCATCCTTCAAAGGAAGTCAGTCAATGTTTAAAAGTTGGGTAGCTGGTCACCGGGAAGCACCAAAAACCGGGTTCGAACCCATGATCTTCTGAATGAAAGCTGAACAGTTTACAGCTTTGTAACGAGTGGTTGACCAACAGTGTGAGTCGAAAATAGAGAAGATAAACGGTACCACCATCCAGTATGAGTCCACAGCAGACGGAAATCACCTGCAACGAAGCACCCAGACATTGTCTTGGGCAAAGTAACTGTGCTCACATTCATGTGTTTCAACGAGGGTCTACGGAACAAGAAACTTACCTCAACTGAACCGATAACAGCGACACCGATCATTGCCGTTTCACAGCATGGGTTCAATTCATCCTGTGCGCTCTCCTTCAATAGCGGCGTAGTTGGGGCTGTTCGGGAATAGATTGGCGTGCTCCGACATGCGTTTCCAGACTGCCTTCTGTGAGCCTCAGTTACTATTTGCGTCTGTCGTTTCGGATATTTTGAGTTCGGCCTCCAGGGTTCGCGAGGTCCAGATATCATTGGATTTACTCGCAACACATTGACAGATGAGGGTTTCACAGAGTCGGAGACCGGATTGGTTGATTCGCTATATGGTTTCCATTCTGGCGAATCTTGTGGTTTTCCTCTGTCACTTCTGATCACTTTCACCTGGCCTGACTGCTTCCTGTAAAAAAATCAAGCAGGTTTTCATTTTCTATAGCTTACGACGTAAAGAATGAGACCACATTCTATTTACCCAGTGGAACAATTCTGTCTACTCGAAGGAAAGAAGCAAAGGCTATCCAAGAACAGTTTGCATCCCGTTACCTCTCAATGGGGGTCAGCAGCGGGGCATGGGTCACGANCAGCGTGGCATGGTTCACGAGTTTCCACAAGTCTTTTCGTCTACTCGAAAACTAAATATTTCCTGGTTTCTGGTTATTCACTTGGTTTAAAAGCTGTCGGCAGTTAGAGTACTACTTCTCCCCTTTCTTTTCAGCTAATCCCAAGTGACCTGTAGAAATGATCTGCTTAGGACAATTTAGCCCTCTAATCAACCTTGAGGAATAGATTAAAAGGAACTAGTCCGAGGATCTAGTCCCCCCTGAATAGACAAACTGCATGCGAATTAATCTCGCAATAGGGGTGAAGGAGAGCAACCGATTATCATATTGAAGTTGTCTATTATTGGGAGATTCGTAGAATCCCTCTGTCCTGGCGCAAAAACTCCGGTGAGTTCACTAAAAAGGGGGAAGGTAATGGACTTGACCTTATTAGAGCCAATCAGACCACCCTACCAGGGCACATTTGAAGGGTCGGAATTATCACGTTTGTGCAGGAGAATATGTTCAAGTTTACGCAATGTGATTGGGCTGTCTGACGCCTCACCGGATGACTCAGTGTCGACCAAGCGGCCTACCTGGCAAGACTTTCCAGTCAGGTGGCGCCAAAGACTTTGGAAACAAGTGTTACTCGTAAGGACTTGGGACCCGTGGTGAGTAGATCCAATGAAATTTCGACACGTGACCTTATCCTTACAGGGTACTTTTTTTCGCGTGGTAGACAGTCCTCCGCCTTGAGAAGCACTTCAACCCCCAACCTGCGAGTGTATTATATGGTTTATCACTAGATTGCGATGGCAGTTTGCCGACTTGTTTTCATCACCAAATCAACTTTGTTTTGTATCTGTTTATGTGGCATTATGTTTAACTGCTGTGACCTTCACGTATCTGACTCTAATATTGGATATTTTGGACTCTTAAGTGTACAACAGTGCCAGAAGCGACCATCTGTTACCACATCTGTGTAGAGATTTGTGGATATGATCTACTTAGTTGTTCCCGTCTGATTTGTCAAGTATGCGTTACCAGTTTGGCATGCTGTTAGCGTGAAACCGTTCCTGCTCACCTCTGGTCTTACTTATACAGGAAAAAGGTCTCCTGTTGGGTACCCACGCAAAAACCTTACGTGACATTTCTCGTAGTTCGGATGTGTTTAACAGCATGATTCGATGTGACAGACTAATTCGGATGTCAGCCCACCTTGAACGTTTTGAAGAATTTGGAAGTACTTTCTCCAAACTCAGCCATCCTCCAGATGAGGATCACTGAAGCGGCACTGATCAACAATTTACGAACCGGTTGCGTGAGAGCACGAAATTATTGTTTGCTGAGTTGAATAAACTGTACTACTGTGGAGTTTGAAGTCACTGACTAGAGGACGGCTTTTCTGATATAGGAATGCATGTTGTTAGGTGAGGCTATATGAATATCGGTCAGGTTGTTCACTGAGACTGGCCATTAACCTGCAAACTTCCTATCGTCAGGCGAGATGACGTCATCAGCGGACTGGAATGTTGTGGTTCTCCTCTGAATGGGCGAGATTGGCAGATGTGCCTGTGCTGATGTAGATTCAGTTGTCCGTAGTTTTCCGAGCTCTATGAAACGATCCACGTGCTGCTTACCTTTCGGGATGGGATCCGTGTGGCCCCCCTCGTACTTGGCTGGAGACAGTGAACGATATGGCAACTAACTGATGTCAGTGGCGTCCATGCTGTTGGCTTCTATCCAGATTGATTGGTTGCGTGTTGAAGGTGTACGCACCTCGGATGTTTGTCTGTGTTTGGGGTGAGATGGCTCAGTGGTTAGAAGACAAATCACCGACCGGAAGGTACGTGGTTCGAACCCGGCATTCTGCATTTCAACTTCTGTCCAGCATGGGCAACCTGGTGGTATCCAAGCCCTCGTGCTTCCGTTGAGTGGCATGGCAGTCAGGCAGCGACAGGGTGCTACAGTTGGAAGGTATTTTCAGGTCTCCTCCCCTGCCTTATTCCTAATCTATTTCCATTATTTGGTTTGATTCAAATAAATTGGCGGATTTACAGGGCAGTGAAGCGCCACTGCTCCTATTAACAATGATGGTGATGCTGACAAGCTCGAGACTAAAGTTTAGTTATTCTGAGTTGAAAACTAGGCTGTATTTTTGTTACAAATGAAAGGTGCAAGTTCATGATGGAGATTCGGGCCTAATCCAGACGGAGGAAAATTCGCAATAGTTGTCCACTGTACGCCTGCGAATGTTGAGTGCCCAGGGCCGAATCTAATCTGTGTGAAACATATCACCATGAACTGATGATTTCTTCCAAGAGATTAGGGTTTTTGAATGCCCGAATCGTACGCCATGTCTCTTTTTTCTAGTAAACGCATCCAAACATTCCTAAACCAAATGTCTCAAGAGCTGTCCGCCTAAATGGGAACGTCTTAAAAAGCATAATAAGCTACACAAACTAGCTTCAAAGATCAAATCACCTGATCACAAAATCAGTCACATTTTCCAAGATGAACAGACAGAATAAGGAGACCTTTTGATGTGCTGTCAACTAACGTTTCAAAAGAGACATGACGCCAGTTTAATGAACCCTGTGCAAATCTACTTTAGCAAAAGAGTGAGGAGAAACCGAAAGTGGAACAGAACGCTGAGAGCAAGTTGTAATTCAGACTGATGGGGGACTGAGCAACATTCATGTGATATCGGTGGCCCCAGCACACGACCGATTTATAGTTACCTGTTAAATGGATTAGTTTGATGGCTTTTGCGCACATAAACCTGGATTCGGCTTTCGATCACAGCCAAACTGGGTGTAATTAGCGTTACTGGACAGAATCCTTAAGAAATTGACCGTTACATGACTCCACCTGTCTTGTCCGGGTTGAAGGATAGAGGATTGCTGCTCTGACATGTTTCTTTCGGCTCTCAGGATCTCTGTCCCTGTGACTACTGGACAGAATCTTTAAGAAATTGACCGTTACATGACTCCACCTGTCTTGTCCGGGTTGAAGGATAGAGGATTGCTGCTCTGACATGTTTCTTTCGGCTCTCAGGATCTCTGACACATCCCTGTGACACCTTCGAGCCGATGCCGGTTCGCGAAAAATTTCCGCGCAACCATTCTAGCATGGCTTGTGTAAGTGTTGGGTTATTGTAGCGCTTGAAAATAAGTTTTTGCGGAACATCCCCCCAAAATTCCAAAGCCAGCAGCTGTGCAGAAATCTCTCCTCCCTTAAAGCACGGAGTTTTCACTTCCAGGCTTCCTGAGCCTTCATTCTTATCAGGCACTCAGCGTAGTGTGTCTGGGAAATTCGACCAGATTGTACCCTAATCTTCGTTGGTTTTGGGTGGGCTTTAAACTGTTTGTTATCGTTTTGCTTGTTGAGTGTCTGAAAGGGCATCATCATCATCGTGTTCAACACCGACGCTTCACTACCGTACAACTATGACTTATTTGAGAGCCCTATTGTAAAGAAAAGCATAAAAGTGAACGGAGAAGGGACTTAGTGCCAGCTTACCACAAACATTCCGAGGTGCCTATACCTCCAGACACTCACTCAGGCGATCTGGATGGAAACTGACAAAAAAGACGCCACTGACATCGGTTAGCAACCATATCTTGTAGTGTCTCCAACCAAGCACAGGAAGGATCACGCGGTCCCCATCCTGGAAGGCGAGTATCAACAACAGTACCCAAGCGCTTCATACTCCTGTGCCAAATTAAGGGTTGGCCATCTCTCTGTTTAAGCCACTCTGAGTTAGGCATGGGGAACAGCACTCTCTTCAGCATTCTTTCTACAAGCTTTATCTGACTCTCATATTGCCGTTCAAACTTTCCTCTATGATCAGTGACGATTATCAACCTGACTGGCACGTGATCAAGTTGTCAAAGCAGTGATTTCCTCTATGGCTGAGGTAAGGAAATATTCTTTAATCCACGTTTCGTAATTTGATATTCTAGATCAAAAAGCTTTGTAAAATAGTTGTGTCAAACACCCAACTAATCAATACAACTTTTCGCTACCATAGCGGAGATGTTCATAATGTGGCGTTATTGCGAAAGAACTGCGAAATCCTGGCGCTTTGTACCTCAAATCGAAAAATAGTAGCACGCGAGTGTTATGGATAAAAATGGTCTCCTGAGATGTTACCTTGAAGGATCCTGGGTTCCTTCTATATTGTCGAAGTAATTCAGTCGCCTGGTATCTTTTGGTCGCTTGTCCGGGCCTCGCCAAGGTACAGGTTTTCTGGATGACCCCGGATCTGGCTCGTTTCTATCCTTTTGTGGGGTGAAGCGCCTGGGCAATATTTCAGTCTTTGCTTTTTTACTACGACTGTCCAGCTGTTCCCTGGCTTCCCGTTCGACTTTGTCCAGCTGATCCATGATTTCCAGTGCAGCCGCCTTTTGGGTTGAAAATAGTGAGAATCATTTCAACTACTGTTTTAGAATAGAGTAGACACCAGTAAATGCAAAAATGTCGTGCGCACATGATCACCTGCAGCTTTATCGTGTCCATGATTACATAAATGGATTTCCACCGAGAGTTTGTAAAGTTGGAGCAGGCCAGAACTACCCTATCCATCAACTATTCTCCCCTTAGAAGGTACAAATATTTGGCGGTTAATTCGGATTTTCATCACACAGATCCTGACGACATTCTGGCAGGGAAAACACTCAGATAGCCTTGCAGTATTTTGCGTCTTTCCCTATGGTTCTCAAAGCAATTATAGACAATTCTGTTGATAAAAGTTTCAAAAAAATGCTAGAGCCACATGAAATGTGGCAGGTCTGGGAGCGGTGTGATGAGGGAAGTCACAAAAGTCGGCGATGGACGTGAGATGAATGAACCATGTTCAATGAAAAGAAATGGTTGGTTCTAGGGAGGCCCAACCACACTAGTGTCTTCATGACTATTGGGACACATAAAGTATGCTCGAATGAGTTGGACGCATAATAATAAATGAAGTGGAGAAATAACAGGGGGTGAATGCGATAGAAAAGGTTAAGTCTCTATTCAGTACCTATGATAGTTTCCTTTTTGATGAGTGTCCGGTTTGGGTATCGAATGATTAAATTTGTTGCCCGAAGAAGTACAGTAATTTTTCCGTCGAAAAACTCTTGGAGTTTTATTCTGCGAGAAAAATATTTTGACCGGTAACAGATGGTTCATTCGTTATGTACTAGGGCGCTTACCAGCAGCTAAGGGCAACAACTTTGGTAAAGTTTGCGAACCGCGTCTTCTTCCACGCATGCAAAAAATCTTTCCAGATGCAGTTTTAGGTGACAGAACTTAGTGAGCTACCTTTACTGCGAAAACAGGCATTCCAGGTGTAGAACACCCGGAAAAAAAACGTAATTCACAGTTGAAGCAACTGTGAAATTATTTTGGTTGCAAAACTAGTGCACTTTGCGGACGGAAACAAATTTGTCGTGAAGTGAATGTGAAATTCTTGAAAAGTGCTTGAATCTCTATCCATTTTATAGCCAGTACGAAAGCACCCCGATTCGGCCTCGAATTCACCACTACACCAGATTTGTTCCAGAGCCCTCCCAGGGTTGGACCAATGTCACCTGTTCATAGACCCGGGTCTTGACAAACATGCGTTTCAAGGGAACCATGTGTTTTTTCTTTTGCTGTTTCAACCGTAAACTTAGTGTTTGGACGCACCACGTTTGAGTGAGTAGCTTCGGAGCACTTCCTGAGTCGTTACAGATGAAGCCAGTCAAAATTTTGTACAGGCGTAGCTGCTTTTTGACCTTTTTTTAGAAAAAAGGGCATAAAAGGGCAGTTCATTGGAACACCGTCTACTCATTTATGCAACACTAGAAGTCTGATCACATGCCTCTGAGAATACGAGAGGCGAGGATATCTTCCCGTTCCACAGAACAGACCGCGATGCAGTTAGATGTCAGACAACTAGATATTCACCTATATTAATGGTGATTAGGTCTTGAACGAGGTAGAAATTTGATAGGACGTCCTCCTAATCTTGCTGAAACCTACCTTGTAGCTCCTATAACGTTCCGCGCATATACAATGGTGTGTGGTTCCAGTGTCCAGTTTGATTACTTTAGAATTAGTTCCCTGGGTGCATTTTTGCAGTGGTTCAGCAACATTCCGCGGGGTCCACATCACAAAAAAGAATGAAAAGTTGTCCGATTTCTCACAATTGAGTCGTTCAAAGTGGGTGCATTCAGTTTGGTATGGTATAGACCAAGAACCGTTCTCAGAATGGTGATACGTTCGCATTTTCCTTCAAGGTATCGAGTTGGGGAGACACGCTGGTTTGGTATCGAAACCTTTGGAAAATCCAGTTTCACTTTGTGTTTGGTTCTAAGCTTCCGTCTTTAAAATCACTTGTGTATGTTGCTGTCCAAACAAAAGGTGTAGTCAAATGCGCGAAATGTTGTTTGGCTACTCATGAGTAGCGTGACTTATGCCTGTGAATCATAACACCTTTCTGCTACCCTGTCGCTCGTTCCCTGGTATTGAGGACCACAGTCCTTTTTTACGGTTAACCCCGGTCTGAATAGCCACTTAATCGCCTGATGCGTTTGACCAAACCAGAAAAAGTCAATCAATGTGCGATCCGTCTGATCTGTTGATCACTGTCATGTACAAGTGGGTCAAAAAAGTGATACTAAGAATACAACTCATTTGTCAAGAACGAATGAAGCACAACCAATGAAATCTGTCTCAATAAAAGCGCTTATTTCACTGGCTGTTATGTAGTCCCGTTATGTTTGGAGACGGTCCTCCTAATATCTCCCCTTTGAACTTGAGTCTCTGTCACTGGCATTACTCTGCGTGTCGTCCTTTGTGATCGTCGATATACAGGCGCTTCTGACAGCCGGTTTGCAACCTGAGTGTCGGTTGTCCTTCCTCTGTTTATGTCTAGGTGTCTTATCAAAATGTTCGGAGATAATGCATTCAACCTCTGAGTGGGTTGTGAATAAGCTTCTTTTAGTTGATTTGCATGAGAAACCCACGTTTCGGAAACGCTTTTGCCTTGACGCCAGTTCATGCGATTACCAAGAGAGTCCTTTACTAGTGCCTGGGTTGGGTTTATCCCCCAATTCAGGTCTGCTTTCCCTCAAGTTGCTAAGGTCTAGACCGTCTCATCCCAGGCATGATTATCAAGATCGTTTAGCTGTAGCACCCTTTCGGTGCCTCGCTGCCATGCCACACGAAAGAGGCACGAGGGCTGGGATACTGCCAGGTTGCCCAAGCCTAGACAGGGGAAGTCGAGAGGCAGAGGTCGGGTTCGAACCACCGACCTTCCCGTCAGTAAATTCGCGGCGCTCTAACCACTTGGTCCAACTCGCACCTTCCTCCTTCTTGATTATCAAGAAGGAAATTAGGGAGTTCACAATCACTGTTTTTAAAACGCGGTCAACTTCAATGAATGTATCCTCTAAATTGTGGCTCACGACGCCTCTGCCCAAACCAAACTGATGATGTCATGAGCATTGGTGGTACAGGGATCCAGGAATCTTTTCGCCCAAATTTTTCACTGAAATGGGCAACATCCAGAGGATAGACGATGCGTAAATTCAGACAAAAGCACTATTTCCTCACATTGTTGTGGGCCTCATCACAAAAATTATCCCGTTTTGTTGGGGGAGCCAAATGAAGTTTTCGAGTAAGCCACATAACTCAAATTTCCAATTCAATTGAAACACCAACTCGTAAACAAAACGACAGTTGTTTCTTGTGTCGAACCCCGGGCGACCAGTACCTAACAGTATGATAAAAAGCCCAGGTATGAATTTGTCTGCTCTGTGAACCGGTCGACACGTGAACCACTAACTTTAAACCTGAATGACAATGAACCGCCACAACCGATGTGAACTTTGAAGTCACAGTCACAGAAGCCATCCGATTAGGGACCGTTTTACATCGAGAGTGAAGCAGACCTAACAACGCCTGACTTAAAATCAGCCTGTGCACTGTTCAATACCACGTCCTCAGAAATGCACTGTTTGTCCACTCCAAGGCCTCTAGTGACAACCCCTTGTGGTTATGTCCCACGGTATCTTCGAGTTGTCTTCGGGAATTCAGCACGCACAGTGCCAATTTCCCCTCCTAACCCAAGTGTGAAGGTGGGGAATTCGACGGGATTTCACCCAATGTGATTCAACAGAGGCATACAATTTTCGGATGACCGCGTAAATAATCAAGGTTCGATTCATTCGAAACAGCTGGTCAACCTCAGTGTCGTCATGTCACCTACATGCCCCAACCTCATTCCATGAGCTATTATCTCTTTGATCGTTCAATAACCTTATACCTGATTAAGGTGGTGTCTGGATCATCAAGTCATGAGAGGGACAATTTTAAGCGTGCAAAAACAAAACAAGGAAAGTTCATTCTTTTTTTAGCACCTGAGCATCAAAAATGGCATTTTTACATTTGCTTTCATTCTAAAATTACGGGAGAAAACGAGGTCATGTTACCCTGAGCGTGGCAGTGTCGGGATTTCATCGTCCACAAGATAACCTCCACGATACCTATCTTGTGACATACACTCATAGAGCTCCACCAAATTCCAATAGCGAACAAGACGAGCTCCATTCGATACGTGTGCACAATTTGCAATGTGCCCATCGGCTGGAATTTCTTACCGCTTTTATTGATATTCCTCTTTCAAAGTGGTATTTTATACCCGATTCTTTCAAGCGAGTCCGGTTTTTTAAATACAAGTCAAGAAGGAGTTGTACACTTATACACTTTTCTTGATGAACACTTTTCTCTTGAACTTCGTTACCGATACGTCGGCTTCAGTGCCTCACTGAGGCTGATTTGAATGCATCTCTGAGATGTGGCATGATTTATTCAGATTTTGTAACAAGGATGGGTCACCACAAACGAACCACATTCTGTCAAGCAATCAAGGCGTTACAGCTCTATCCTGCTTAAGTTGACTGCCTTCACTGTGTTCTCTCGTACAACTCTACACCATTGAATTTCTTAGTTTTCAGCTGAAACTTATTGGCAGCGAAACTGCATGCAAAACAACTGGTCGTTTTGACAACCCATCCGTTTTTGCCCATAACTAAAAACCTTCATCTCCAGCCTACCTTGATTGGCCACGAAGCCTTCAAATGGATCATTTTTTCCACATAGTGCATCTTCCATATTCCCGGTTGTGAAATGTTCTTGGTTCCCAGTAAATTCCAACCGCGACGGATGCACTTGGGCGCCCAGAGCTCATTTGCCTCGGTCAGGTATTTCCAGTACCAGCATACCTGATGCAAAGGTATAAAATAATTAGGTGATAGTTGGATGTTACGGTGGCAGCTGGGAGAAAAAGCTGGCGAATATTTCCTATAGGGAATTTCAAAAGTTAAAACAATCGTTCAGCTGTCGTGCGCTTTCGGTGCCTAACTGCCATGCTACCCAAAGGTTGCACGAGGGCTGGGATAATGCAAGGTTACCCAAGCCTAGACAGGAGAGTTGAGAGGCAGAGGTTGGGTTCGAACCACGGTAAAGTCGCGCTCTAACCACTTGAGCCATCTCGCCCCTCAACAATGCAGTATGACTTTTGCTCTGGAGTTCATTCCTTGTTTCACTGTTGTTTCTCAATATCACCCAACGAGGACTGCCATGTGAGTGAGACAGCATAAGTGCGCATTTTCCAAACTTCACCAGGCACAACAGTTTAAACTCGGAATCTACACGAACGTTGTAAACGGTCAGTTTCTACACAGTAATCGTTTCTAAAATAAGACAAAACAGGGTGCCCATTTGGTACCAATGGCTGGCAATGTCTGCGCATTCAATAACCGGGATGAACGTTCTTTAGAGTATGTCCTCCTATAAAACCATTCATTCACAAAAACAGATTTCAAACGTCGACGTCATATTTTTCCGGTGAGTCCTAAAGAGTAAGTTCCAGGCTTCCAGTAAAACTTGTTCGGATTACCTGATCGATCCATCACCTGCGTGAAAGCAAGTGAGGCATGATTATTCTAGCCACACTGAAGAAACTCCTAGTTGCATAATTCTGCAAAGCATCCTTTCACATTGAAGGCAGGTTTGAAGCCAAACTGATTTGCAACTGAGTATATTTCTCAAAAACGGTCGAATTTGGTTTCAAGTAGAACATTGGGTTGACGGAAACCCGGAGACTGCGCCTAGCTGATGAGCCCCAAGTAGGGCGAAAACAGTCGTGTGCTGTCGAAGAGTTTTCAGCGACCTTGTGAGTAGTTTCCTTTAGAAAGTTTAAAACTAAGCTAAATTTTCAAGCCCTGTCACGTTGTCTTTACACCTTCGTGTGTATATCAGTAAGGTTCACACAGTCTTGAGTAAATACGCTCGAAGAGAAAACACGCTTTTAAAGAGTTGCTAAAGCTATTCGCCGCCATGTATGAATCGAAATACGAATTCCCCGAGTTTCCGTCAACCTCAAGTTCTGCTTGAAACCAAATTGCAAGTGAGTGTACTTCGCTAATTTCGTGCAATTTGCTTTCAAGTAGAACATAAGCTTGACGGAAACTCGGGGACTGCGCCCACTTGATGAGCCCCGAGAACAGCGAAACCGGTCATGGGCTATCGACGAGTTTTCAGCAACCTTATGAGTAGTGCATTACGAATATACGTGTATTGCGATATCTCGAATATCATAGCAACTGAAACATGAGGCGGCCTGGTGCAGCACATTCAGAAGCCTGGAAGCACCACAAACGACAGATTCAGCTGGGTTCTAGGTGAGTCTCACGCAAAACCAAATTAGTCTGCAAATGAGTGCATTTTGCTAATCTCGTGGAATTGGGTTTCAAGCAGAACACAAGGTTGACAGAAACTCGGGGAACGCCTGATGAGCCTCAAGAAGGCGAAACCGGTCGTGGCCTGTGGAAAACTTTACAGTTGTTTAGTTGTTCAGAATTCTACCAGTCAGCAGTTTGCCTATTTAAGGATGACCTTGACCAAATGGTTTCCAAGGAACTTGTGGTATACACATCCTTAATTACTTCCTCCATGTAAATCCGACAGAGCTGACAGAAGGTTTCACAAAAGAAAAGAAAACTAGGGGACGCAAACCACTTTCATGCGTATTTCTAAAGGTCTTAGAAACAATGGAAATCCAAGCAACGTTTACACGCATCAGCACAATATTCCTGATGAAATTACTTCCTGAAGTTGGAATTGAGGTCAGCTTCATCAGAGTAATGTTCCACGTGACCCGACCTACTTCCGCTTCTTGCAATAGGTGGACAGCTTCATTATCCCCAATTTGACCTCGGAAACTATCTCGCAGAAATGAGGAGTGGGGAACATCTTGGAACAGCAAAAGATTAAATTTTTTACAGCCGCTGAAAATATTGCACGGTCGCATTTTTAAAAGTCCCATCTTCCATACATGTGAGCATATGCCGAGCCACCGATTTCCGAATAGTGTGCCCACCTTAGAGTGCTGGAAACAAAGGGGTGACAAACCCTTCACCAGGACTGCGTCAACCTTTACGAATGTTTCAATTTTTTTCTTATAGGTACACGGACCAACAGTCATGTGATCAGAGCAGTGAACATTGTATAAACTACAAGCTACCACAGATAACGTCGCCAACAATGCGGTCACTTTGTTTATTCATTGCAATTCCGCGCACTCAGAGTCAATATGATGAGTTGCGGAAAAAAACCAGATTCCCTGAATACGTATTTGGAGTTGTCGGCACCTCGGAATGATTGTGGTAAGCTAGCAATAAGTCCCTTCCCCATGTGTTTTTATTCTTTTCTCCACAATAAGGCTTTCAAATAAATCATGGTTGTACGGCAGTGAGGTATCGGTGATGAGCACTGATGTCATGCTGTCGATGATGATGATGATGACGATGATGATGGTGATGATGATGATGATGACGGACCTTCGTACATAACCGAAACGTCTGTACATTGCGTAATTACAAGGTAACACAACAATAAGTTGGTTATCAAGGCGCTTAAGCACAGCTGGCAATACATTCCTGAAGAGGACTGTTGCAAGTCTATTCAAACATATCTTACGGGAGTTTGGCCCTCTGGACATTTGGTCGATTTGCCGCTTAATATGAACCTATTCATGTGAAATAGTAGCCAGTCGAAAACGAACGAGGCCCAAAATGTGTCAAAAATAGCTCTTTGTTCGGAAATTCCTTGAGGCTCGGACATTGGGCTTTAGGTGCCGCTTTCTCAGAGGGGTCTCCTCGTTTTGGGAGATAAGGAAATTATGCCTGTCAAACATGGCAATCTTGTAGGGTGAATGAAAATTGCTGCACAGTCCACCGCCAATTTCGCCACTCACGAAGATTATCAGGTCACGTAGCTTTTGTTTCAGTCAATTTGATATCCTACATAAAGAACATAATAGGAATCTACCAAAGTATTCGTAGCCCAGTTGATTGATCAGGTTTCCGTTACTTTTTTCGCTAAGGTTGACAATTAGCTTGCAAAAGTTTGTTCACCAGTGAGCGGTAATGGTGATATCGGCTCAATTAGTGACCGATCGTTAGTAAGCTATTTGCCAAGCTCAACGAACTCATCAACGGTCACCTGATCAACCACCAATGATATCGCATTGCAAGTATTGGTAAACTTCTGATTCATAATCAATTTTTTCATCCTCTTAGATTTTTCCGGTGCAACATACAGGCATCAGGGAATTCAATCTAATATTAATATACTCCTTTGACACATGGGAATACTGGTTCTGACTGTGAGAACGTTTTTTTTTCGAAACAAACCCATTTTTTTAATCTAGGTGACCACACCTGGTTGTCTAGCCAAATTCAGGTTACGAATGGCTCTTATGAACAGAAGAATAAAACCATACCTGGCAAAAGATAACGATGTACGTACGGTAGCAATCATCCTGTACATTCACGGAGATGCAGTTCACTCCATGAGCTCACTTTCCCCGTGATCATGAGTTTACTGCAACGTTTTCTGATCCGTGCAACATACGTGCTACCGGCTATCCATTAGCAATCGTCCAAATGCTATGTCACCTTTGGCACAACTGCGATCTAGCGGCACAGAGAAACGGTTCAGTGGAGGCGCTATCGGTGAAACCGCCTTAGAGTTGTCATACAAATTGAGTAAGCTGACTGTCAGCCGTCACCTACTGGCGTGCTTCTTAGTGAAATTCAGCAAGAACGCAAATGAAACTTCAGGACCCCGACATCCATGACCGGTTTGCTCTTCTTGGGTGTCATCAGGTAGGCACAGTCTCCGAGTTTCCGTCAACCTTATGTTCTACTTGAACCCAAACTGCACGAAATTAGTAAAATACACTTCTTTCTTATTCTAATGAGCATGGTAACTTACAACTGATAGATGACCTTGAAATGCAAGTACAAACTGGTGAAGTGGATTTGACTGGTAATGGAAGTTCTTCCCCAAAAACAATTAAAACAAAACTAGTGCATCAGGAGAATCGTTTTTTCATACGTGGCCCAAACATTAACCTCACATGTTGACTGTCAAAACTACATCGAACAAGATGGATACTTTAAACCGGTCAATTAGCCGTTCTGGAGGCTGATTATTGTTTTGAGACTGAACCTATTTGAGATTCCACCTAATTCATCCGGCACGAACACTGGTACATTGATCTCAAGGCCCGGAGCCAACTAATCAATAATGGTTCGTTGCTAGTGAAAAATCTTCGCGAATTTTTTCATAACGTTGCAGAACCACATGCCTTGAACAGGATCACAACTTTGGGGCATGAGGGCGGACAACATTTCAAGACAATACCGACAACACGGTTTCATAAGCGGGATTCGACATGCCTAACTCGTCCTGTGACGAAACGTCTTGAAGGTAGTCATAACGGACTCCTGTCGGATCTTTTCCAGATAAGCCCCGCCACTAATGCAAAAAGTGCATGTGCGAAAAGGTAAACCCCGCCCCACCTTTTGCCAGTTCCAATTTAATGTATGCACACAACCTTGACCTAGTTGTGATGAAAGCAATTCCTTATCCACCTCTAGGCTCATTTTGTGCCAACATTTTCTCCGTTAGGACGTAAAACCTTAAAGATACTTTCTGACGATTGCACGTTCTCGTTCAAAAATACACAACTCAGGGTTCACGTTTGGTAGAGTAAGTCCAGCATGAAATTCTATCCTGTTGTAGCTACCCCTGAAGCAATACACATTTTGCTTGGCAGCGTGTGCGACCCACCCTCAAGGATGGAAACAGAAATCCACTAAGTCCCTCCCCCATCCACCTTTATTCTCCTCTTTACAATAAGGCTTTCAAATAAGTCATGGCTGTACGGCAGTGAAGCATTGGTGTTGATGATGGATGTCATGCTGTCGTTGATGATAATGATGATTTTCAAGAAGTCTATGAATGCGATTTATTTCAACACGTGAGGTCTTCCAATTATTCTCTAGACCAGAAGCCAAAATTTACGCATGGTATTTCATTCTTTATCCTTACTGAAAATAATCAGCAGTGTGCATCCCAAAACATTCCAGTTTTGAACCCGCCATCTCTCAATTAGAATTATGCACTCTCGATCATCTTTCCACATCAGGGTGATAAACTCGTATTTCTTAAAACCACATCGCGATCCATCCCCAAGTCGTGAAATTTGCAACCCCATGAAGCGGAGCACACTACGGATGCTTATCAACAAGAACAACACAGCTGTACAGTTCTCCCCGGCTTTTCAATCACAAAACCGAGTCCTATTTAGAGGCTTCCAAATTTTAAGCTTCTGACGGACCGTCCTTTTCCTCATGGAGTCTTCTAAGTAGAGAGTGGCTGGTCGAAAAAAAACGTCGAAGAGTATCCCCGTTGCTATGGCAAACAGTTCGTCTGGACGAGGGATGCAATGGAACTCACAAGGTAGGTGAGCACCTGCCCTCCACTTATGGATTGATTGACCCATTCATCAGAGGGCTTCACATGTCGCGCAAAATCTTCCTGACAAGGTCGTTTATAGTTTTTTTTATAAACCAGTGATCCATTGGCTGGTACGTAGTCGAATAGTGGCAAGCCAAAATTTGAAATAAAACTTTGTCCTGTATTTTTAACTAACTGTAGCCAAATTGAAGTTCAAAATCTGCACATACTAAACTGAGAAGATAGGCACATTGATTCGGCTACATGCAGCGCTGGTTAACCCAGAAGGTGCGCGCGAGTAAGCGAGTTGCATGCTACCGCTTGTACACCAGGGACGCTGATGCCAGCCTTGCAACTTTCTATGCATTTCCTAATATTTCACCATTGTTTCAGACGTCATGATCCCGTTAAATCTCCTTCATTCAGACCGAAAGCCCAGATCTAACATTCAGTTGTGTAACTTCTTTTATTTTTATGTGCCGAATTTTCGTCTCAGTTGAATTTAATGAAGGGGGACACTGGAGCTGCTGTTTCGATTGCCACCGGCAAATAGCTGTTATACCGGCCACTTTGGCCTGCGGTCTACATGTCATGGTACTCTGCCTGTTCTGTGTTTATGAGTGACCGAGCAATATGTCCGCCACACGGCGGCTATGGCATTTTCGGTGGTCTAAAGACGGTTTATCCCAGAAGCTTGATGTGCTTACACGTGCAGCATCTGGCGCGAGCAGGTAGAAAGCTGCTGCACAATTATTTGAGCATGTGATCATTATTTACTAGCAGTATAAGATCCGCTGATTTTCATAGTGTACGACGATAAAAAACGTTATACAACGGTTGTTTTTCGGGCACACATTAATGACGTCGAGTTAGCTTACCTACCGGATAGCATTTATATGACCGCCAAATTACCGTCAGAAACGTGGAAATCGTTTAAGGTTAATCTGCCACGAAGGTTCAGTGGTGATTAGTTATATAGCCACAGAATTGCAAAGTGGTATAGCCCTTAGAGGTGTACTCGCTATTTAACTGCAAGATAACATACGACCTACTGGGACGGAACTCTAGTTACCGATTGCAGAAAAAAAATTTACTGACGTTGGGAATGTCGTAGAACTTTTAACTCCCACAGACACACAGTAACATAGAATCAGAATAGCAGAATCCGAAATTATTGCTGGAAATTTTGTTGAAAAATGACACCAAGTACTACGAAACCCGGATGTTTGTCGGTCGTTCACAAATACAGAACATGGGAAATGGTTGGTCTTTTACCCACAAGATAATATAAAAGCTACAGTTAGCGGGCGGGTTTCGAGGTTCAACAAACGATGTTGAACAGCTATAACACCATTATTCAGCCATGTATCAACCAGAAAATTAGTTTCTTTTTGTTGGTGTCAGCTCCAGGATAAGTTTTGCCTATTGCTCATCCATCTACACTTACCTGGGAACACCGACAGAGGCTTCTTGGATCCAGAAACGAAAATATATAAAAATTCAAAACTCTTGGTAGGACTCTGGTAAAGTCAATACTGTGTTTCGGGATTTTGTCCCGGACAGCATTTTCAAGGAATTCCATTTGCTTTGTCGTGCAGAGCGGAAGTATGTCCAAAAGGACTTGTTTTCTCTGACGATCAGTCCACTTGCTGAACTAGATTTGTTAAAATTAATATCTGTTCAAAGAAACTTACCCATGACAAAAGCAGCTGCCGGCGTTCTTGAAATATCTGCATGTATGAATGAACATTGGAATATTCCATACCTGAGAATTTAGAGCCGCATCGTTCAGCGGTGTCCATGTGCTCTTCAAATATTCTTTAGCTACATCTCCACCTGCATTGCGCATTATGGAGCCCCTGGCGTGTACGCTCCTTCATTTAAAATTTCACGATTTACACTGTCAGAAGTAAAACATATCGTTTGATTGTGTAAAACACGTATAGGGCCAGAGCTGAAGGAAGTCAGAGTGTAATATGCGATCTAAACACTGGTTTTGAAAAAAGCCAGACACCGAACGAAAATCTCTCAGTCAGCCTATTCAAGGACTGGGCTTAAACGCGGTTACCCTTTGGGCGCCATGTTCAATTCTTCGGCGTGTGTGGCAACATTTTGAACCTTCCTCCGATGCAAACCCAAAACGTAGCTGGAACCAGGACAATAATGGCGTAAAATTGTAGCATTCAATAGTGTTTGTTTATTAAAATCCCAAAGAACGACTGCAGTTTTGTTAAAATCACCTCATACTTACCGGAACACTGTCCTGGGAGCGAAACTCAATTGTAACAGCAGTACTTTATTCATACACTTGGTGTATGTCGGAAAAAAGAATTTCTGCTCCGTTTCTTGACCCTTTAGGGCTTGAATAAACTTTGATAGAATATGGTGAGTTGTCCGCATAAATTCATACAATAGATCTACTAGGCGGCTCACATGACAGTCCCGTCATTGAAACAAGTGTCCACTGTGGCGAAACCGAAAAATGCGAACTGTCCGCAGCTAGTAAGTTTGATGCAATTTTTGGTGGCTTACTACTCGTGTTGTGTGGGGGTTCTGTTCTTTTGAATTCTCCTAGATGGTGTTACCAACACTCAGTCACCAAGTTCCCATCGATAGGCTGCAATAAGCTACCAAGTGCGCCACCATTGACGTAATAATGACAACGTTGATTTAAGCGAAGCTTAAATTTCTTGAAAAAATACATGCTCATTTTGTCTCACTTAATGTGCCAGTGTAAGCGCATCATTCACAGGCAGGCAACGTGTCTTCGTTCCCCTTGTAATCTTTACCAATATCCGCCCAGAGAATGTAAAGAGGCGCTATGTCGATAGCTTAAGAGATGATCTTCCGGCACAGTAATTAGGTTATGCTTGGATAGGATATACACACCGCTTACCATATGGACACTGAGGAATTTGTGAAGGAGACGACTATGTTCTTTGTCTACTCACATTCAAACTTTGTAAGGCAAGATTGCGACCACACCCTAACCAAATGGGCACCACGGAGGACAATCTTTCACTCCCACGCAAAAAACCTCCTCATCTGGTTGGAGCCAGACGGGGTCCATTCAAGAACCTTGCAGGAAATGTAGCTCAAATTGACGAAGTATTCCCATGCGATGTTACGCCGGCCACTCCATCAAGGCAACCCAATCTTTGCTTAGAGGGAAGCGACTGCCACATCAGTGTGCAAATCCGATGGTCGCTTATCGCGCAGCGGCTGCAGGCCCATCGTCACATTAGCATACCATGCCTCATGACGGAAGGCATTCTGAAAAGGCTGTCTTAAATCACCCCATTGCCGAATGCTTACTATCCCCGACGCAGAATGGATTACCCTCAAAAAGTTCTTGCGCGGTTAACATGCTCGTACGTGTGGAGATCCTAGTACATGCCGAAGATTAGAGACCTGCATTGGATGCCATATTCTTCGACTTTCCTGATTGACAGGACATCCCGAGTAAAAGTGGGACCAACCTGATCCTCTTCTGAACAGATTATGTTTGGTTCACCTCAGGGCTCCGTTCTAGGGCGCCTCATATTCCCAACCTACGGAAATAGCCTCCAAGGTACCCCCTCAATTCTACGTCTACGTTTCGCGAATGACTTTAAATACGATAGGTCCAATGCGACCTTTTTCTAAATGGAAGCCGATGCTGCAAAGGAGTGGACATTTAACAAACACCCCCCATGAATGACAAAAGTGAGTTCCTATGGCTTTCGGGGGGGTGTCAGCGAATGCCTTTGCGGCACATGCTTAGATTGAACGAAGGGGCTTTGCAAAGATAGATACCAAGAGGGATTTTATTACCTGTCCCCGAAAAGCTCGTTTCAGGGAAAAATCGTCTGGAAAGTTATCCTTCGTTCTGTGGATGATTATGTGCACAGTTCTGTTCATCCTCCTCATGGACTGCTTTCGTATACATACGTCGAAAGTCTTCTCCAACATGTCAGCGTTGGTGACTACCAGATATACAAAACCGCCTGGCCTTCCTAGTTCGTTTCTAGTGGGGTGCTATACGCCCGCTTCAAATATTTCGACAACGAAAACACAATCTGAGGCACCTGAACACTCTAAGACATCGTTGCCCCTGATGGGTACTGGTATCTACCCATCACTGGTGTTTCATAAATCTCGCTTGTCTTTCTCATAAGCTTTCGACAGTCAGTGGCATTTAACTGCAAACAGCGCCTTCAGTAGTAGGCCGCTATTAGGCCTTCGCAAAGCGTGCCGCGATATCTCTTACCTGATACTTTTAATTCACTACTCCAGCGAATTCATTTCATCACAAAGACCAGCTTACCCATCAACCCGTTGAATTGGCGATGCCGGACATGGATATTTCAGCACCGACAAAGTTACAAACGCACCCATAAACAACGCGACGACCTACAAATTACGACAATCCTCTCTGATAAAGATTGTCCAAAAGCGGAGTAGCAGGAATATTGACGAATTTGCCGTCTACTCAATGTCGGTGTATTCACCGAATCAATTCGTAAATCAGGCATGTTTTTTCAGTATTTTTGCCTGGATACTGCACCACGTTACATCGATGTATTTTTCGTTGCAGCATCACCATAGGCCAAGGTCGACTCACGGAAAACGAGAACCCCATTTACCGTGAGTTATATTTTTTCGGCGGACATAATAAATAAGTCCAGAGCTGACAAACGTGAAGCACCGTCGTTTCGCATGCAACGATTAAGTCTCTTATTTAGCTACCGGATTGGGTCAAATTTCCTGTCGTTCTTCATTCCTTTCCAAGGGAATAAAAAACTAAACATTACGCTTTTCGCTTACTTTTCTTGACACCAAAAAGCAGCTACAGACAGTGGCAAGGCATTTGGAGCAAAAGCATTAACTGCTGACAAGTTGTGTTTAAGTGGGAATAGATATCAATGGCACCGGTTTATATTTCGCCAAAATCCAATCATAAGCTTAGTTTTATTGAACTAGTACACTGGACAAATTGTGGGCACCACTGACAACCGAGTGTTTGGCAGCGTGGATTAAATTAGCTCCTGTTACATAAACCACGCTAGATGGACCTCGTCCTGATCGGAGAACACAGCTGGTTATAGTATGCCCCGGAAGTCGTTGAAATTGTTCCCCGAATTTACTCGCACTTTGCAGGATTCGCAAAGTATTATTTATATTAAAATCGCTTTATTAATCTTAATCGAATGTTTCGTGATCTGAAACGCTCTTTTTTAACAAGGCGGCTGTCAGTAGGAATGCTGAAACCCACCATATGGCTAAGTCAATTCAGTGTAAAACTATCCATGTTGCGGTTGCCATATTTTCAGTAAAACCGATGCCAGTTGCCACCTGACGGTGGTTGTATTTGAAATTACATATTTGGGGATACATAATGAGACGCTGGTTGCTTCCGAAAGGTTGGTCATGGCTTGCCCGTTATCGAAGCCAACATATAGAGCTTGTAATCGACTGTCGGCCGAGGTTCCGCCCCTTTCGTCTGCTGGGCTTAACGAAGTTTGCTTGCTTGCACCGTTTAGTTTTGCGCTACTTTTTAGTTCACATGAAGAGGCTCAGGCGACAGCGAAGTACCCCAGACAATTTATACTTCTAGGCAAACGTACGATTTTGTACTAATAACACCAAGTTTCAGTTGGGGCTGCACTCAAATTTGCAAAAAATTCCCAAATCTCTAACTCAAGCGCGAAGTCAAATTATGTGGTTGGAGCTCCGAACTACAAACTACAAAAATAGCGCGAAACGAACCCTCTGCGCTTTAGTTAAGCTTGGTGCAGATCATGTCCAGTGACGTTTTATCGATCGCTGGATTGTTGGCCTGTAAGTTTAAAAATCCAATGAACAAGTTATTGTTTTTTATGGCAACCTAACAAAAAACAAATTTCTGTTTATTCATATTTACAAAAAACCGCGGAACACTTCAAACGGTCAATGAAAATCGAGATGCCTCTCGTTAAGTCAATTTTGGTGGACATTTACAGAGCGACCCTTTTGTTTTGTATGTCAGATTCGGTAGCCACATTGCGCTCATCCCGCTTCTCAGAATGGTGCAAACAGTTTAGTGAAGCTTTTATTTGCTAATTTGCGGCAAGCTGACCCAGAAAATTTCGGATAAGCTCTTAATAAGAGGCATTCTTGATTGAATTTCACCGCCGGGTGGAAAAATTACAGAACTCGTATGCCAGCCAGTTTTTCATGGATTTTCCATCCTAGTTTCCAGAAGATACTTTACCAGCAATGCGTTGCTGATGCCCGACGCATGTTGCATATTTGATTCAATCCCACCTTCTCACGTTCCGAGTGAAACAGAAAAATCATGCTATACCCAAAATAGTCGATTTTGGAGAATGTAGCTCGATTAAAATGTTAGGTGTGTCTTGTGAACATACGTGCAACCGAGTGGGAGTAACCCACCTCACCTGTGTGTAAGTCAAATGCAGCACCGTTGTTAAACATATACATGGAAAATTTTATGCAAGACAACATCTCATCATTTATTCGGCCAACGACTGCGGCCAATATTTCTGGTCATAAGTCATCCAAATAGTTACGCTGCTGTCCTGATGACTATCTCATTGCCATTGGAAAATTTCCCCAAGTTGTCAGGCCCCACAGCGGAAAGCATGGTGGTCTGATGGCATAAAACTAGTTCATGTGGTCAAGAAACTTAGGAAAGCAGTGCAAACGTTAACTGTTTCCATAAGGAAATTTTTGTAACATCGGACATAATCCAGCGATTTGGGACCACATGTTCTCAGTATACTATTGGTTAGCATAACCATTTTTAAAGTCTGTCAAATTTATCCACTGCACTTGCCCTGAGTGTTTTGGAATATGTTTGTTGGGCTG